GGTTTTTATTAATTGTTTTTGTTTTGTTTTTAGTAATTTGTTTTAAACCAAAATTGTTTATTTTCCTGTTTTCTTTGTTTTTGTTTCATATTATGCATTTTGTTGTTTTTTTTTTTATTTATTTTTATTTTTTTGTTAAGAATAAATTTTACTTATAGAGAAAAACAAAAACTAGTGTAATAAATTGAACATGTTTGTTTTTTTTTCTTGTATAGTTTTATTACTATTTTTTTTTTTTAAATATTATTTAATATAAAATTTTTTTTTTTTTACAAATTAATTATAATTATTTTATTTGTTTTAAATTTAATGCGAGTTATTTGGAAAAAAATCAAATAAAAAAAAAATTTATAAAAATTAAAAATAAAAACAGATTTTTTCTTTTTTGTTTTTGTTTTCGGTTTAAAAAAAAAACATGATTTTAAAATACAAAATAAAATAAAAAAAAAAAAATTTTTTAATTTCTTCCTGTTTATTTTTCCTTATTTTTTTTTTCTTTTTAATATTTTACAATAAAAATTTTCCAATTTAAAATTTTAAAATTCAAAATTTTGATTTATTTTTTGTAGATTTTCATCAAATTTTTGGAGGAGAAAAAAAAAAACTTTCCTTTATTGCTTATCATTGGCGCAATTTTTCAAAATATTTTTGTTTTTTTTTTGTAAATGAAATTCAAATTTTGTGTTTTAAATTTTTTTTTTTTTTTGCTTTTTAAAAATGAAATTCGAACTTTTTTTTTTATCTTTATTTCGGGGTTTTTTATTTCCTTATTTTTTTTCCTTCCTTTTCTTCTTTTTTAATTATTATTTATTTTTCAAAAAATATTTTAGTCCAAAAAAAAAAATTGTATGTGTGTATATGTATGTAACATGTAGAAATGTAAAATATTCAAATACAATGGAAAATTTAATTTTAATAGAAAAAAAAAGAACAAAACAAAAAAAAAAATAAAAGATGAAGAATGATGAAAAACTTATAAGCTAATTCCAATAAAAAAAAAAAATAAGTTTTTTTTACACTAAAAACTATTAAAAAAAAAAAACTGAGAAAGTTTCTCCAACTTACAAAACGTCATAAACTTAAAAAAAAAAAAAAAAAAAAAACTATTTAATATTTAATTTTTTTTTTTATTTACTTTTCATTTTTTTAACAATCTGTGTTTTTTTTTCTATTTTTATCTTTTTCTAATTCTTCTTACAATTTTCCTTACATAACTTATATAAAAACGAGTGCCAATCTTAAGCAAATTAGGAACAAATATTTTCATTTAAACTGCATTTTTCTCTCTTATTTCTCTTTTTTTGTTTTTTTTTTTTGATTTATTTATTTTTCTTATTTTTATTTTAAATTTTCTTTTTTTTTTCGTTTCTTTTTCTTTTTTTTTCTCTTGTTTTAAATTTGTAACATATTTTATAATATTAATGTATATGTATATATGTATGTATGTATGTGTATAATAATAGTATGTAATAAAAATGTATACTTCTTCAATTTTCTTTTTTATTGGAGACCTTAAAAATTGTTTAATTTCTATTGTTAATAACAAAAATTACATGCAAAAAATAAAAGTGTTCATATCAAATAAAAAAAAATATGATAAACCTGGCAACGCCTATAAAATTTTTCTCTTCGACATTTCTATAATGACGTTGTATTTTAATTATTCTTATTTTTTAAAATTGTAATTGAAAATTTTTAAATGTTGTTTTTATATAAAAAAAAAAACAAACCTTTTTTATTATTTAAAATCAAAAATTAAAAAACTATGAAAATTCATAAAAAAAAATTTATTTAAATTAATAATAATATTTAATTAATAAGTCAAAAAAAATTTTCGTACTTTCATGTTAAATGTATTTTAATTAATTATTTTTGATAAAATATCTAACAGAGGTCGCTAATGATTTTATAAATGTCAGTAACTATATTTGATACATAAGTAAATCTTTTTTTTCTTTCTTGTCATGCATGATTTATAAAAGGGGAAGATGTTGAATTGTTGAAATAATATTGTTAAGTCACTTATGATATGCAAAATTTTTTTTATTTTTTAAATTCCTAACAAATTTTAAAAGTTTAATTAAAAAAATAAAAATTGTACTTAAAAAAGTAAAATCAAAAAAATTCAAAAAAAAATAAATAAATGCTTTTTATCAGTGTAATTAAATTTAAAAAAAGCGCATGCATGTAGAATATGGTGTGACTACTATTGTGAATTTGTTAAAAAAAAAAAATTAAAATGAAATTCATTATAAAAATTTAGTGATTTGTTTTGGGCTTGTACCCTACTTCCCCAATATTGCAACATACGAGTATTTACAATTATTGTAAAATTTTTAGAAAGAAACTAATTCTCCAAAGCACTCCTAAAGCTCTAAGATTTTTGTTCTAATCTTAAATTAATATTAACTTAACTTTTAAAAATTAAATTTAGTTCAAGTACATGCAAAAATCTTTTGATATCAACACTTTTTTTTTTGTTTTTTTTTTCTTTTTGTTCTATACTAATAATGTAAAATATGTATAAAAAAAAATTGAACAACTTGAAATTATAAAACTAATTTCTATTCATTTCCAACATTTTAAAAATATTAATTGCATGTATGTATGTATGTATGTAAACTGCGTGTATACATTTAAAATTTATTTTAAATGTATTAAAACTTTATTTGTTTTATTACTAAATATAAATTTTTAATTTATTTTTATTTTGTTGCAGAGAGGTATTTTTGTTATAATAATATTAAAAGTATAAATTGTTATATTGAAATGAAATAATTCTGTTTTATATGCGTAATGCAAAATGCGTTAACATAAATCTGATTATTGATCAAATCATTTAGTAAAAATCCGATTAATTAATGTCTTTTGATCAATTAATATTATTAGTTCATCGACGTAATGTAACAAAAATTTTGACATAATGAAATAACAAACATTTGTCAGTCTTCACTGTCTGCCATTTTTCGGGCTGGATCCAAAAATGTTAACATATTTCTTTTGAATTGTAATTTAATGAAGTTTCAATGAAAATATCATAAAGTGAAATTTTCAAATGACATTTACATGACAATATTATACATGTTTGTTTATGTATGTGTTATGTCAAAATTAATTATGACTTTTAATCATTCCTTTAAGGAAAATTATGATTAAAAGTAATAAAGTATTTGCTATTTTTTATGCGGATTATTGCAAAAATATAATTTTATTGGAAAATTAATTTATAATGGTGTAGTAAAATTATTAATTTATTTCTTTTTGTATTCAGTAATGAAAAAATTATTAGGAGTAAAAACCGCATTTAAATTTTTAAATGTATTTTAATCAGTATATTATTATTGTACATTTATATGAATGTATATGTTTATTATAAGAAGAAAAAAAATCAGAGAAAAATTAAAAAAAAAAAAATTTGGAATTTTTATTAAAAAATTTAAACAGTCAACATTTTTAAATTCAAAATATTTTTTATTTATAGTGAATGTATTTTATAATGCATCTAAATGTAGGTGTATTTCTTTATAAAAAAAAATCAAGTTTATACATATAATAAAGTAAAAAGGAAGAAGTATGCAATTGTATTAAAATTGTAAAAAAAAGTATTTAAGTAATTAAAATACTTTTTCTAAATCATCAAAAAAAAACTTTTCTTTAACCATTCTTTAAAACCATAAAATCGTAAAATTTTTTTTATCGTGTCAATCATAAATTCTAAAAATATTCATTGATTTAGTCTTTACGTTATATTAACATACGAGATGACATTTTGTCAAAAAAAAAAATTTTTTCTTTTTAAATTTTCACATTATTTTAACTTTTCTAAATAAATATGTCAATATCAAATAAATTTATTAATATCATTAGCAACTTAATAAAAATGCAAATACTATATATCTGCTTATCGTGACTGTCAAATATTCAATATCCGTCAAATAATAATTGTCAAATTTCAATATGCGTTGTTGTTGTGAATGTCAAATGTCAATATGCGTTGTCGTCTTTGTCGTCGTCGTTAATGTCAAATTTTGAATGATTTAGAAAAGTACATACATTTTTTTTTCTTTTTATTAAATTTATATACTCATATGAATTATTTCGTATTTGTTATAATTATAAGAATAATGATAATAGCATTTTTATATATAAAAAAAAATCAATTATAACATAAACATTTTTGTTTTTTTTTTTTTTTGTTTTTGATTCTTTTTTAAATTTTAGTTGCTTTTTTCTTTTTAAATAATTTGTTGAAAATTTAATTATTTATATTGTATATATTAATGTATATATATAGACTTGTAAATATTTACATATATTTGTATACAAAAATTTTATTTACAAAAAAAAATATTTAAAAAAAAAAGAAAAAAAAGCTTAAATTCTATGTTTTTTTTTTTGAATAAATTTTTTAACATTATGTTGCATTTTTCTTTTTCATTCGTTTTTGTTTTCTATTGAATTTTTTTTTTTTTGTTAAAAAAATATATTTACAAAAAATATATTATATTTTTATATATCATTTTAATATTTTTTTATTATCTTGTATTTTTAAGAAACGAATTAATATTTTTCTTTTAGTATTTATGCATTTTTATTAAAACGAAAATTTTTGTTTTTATATTTTAATGTGTATAATAGTTTTCATTCTAATAAAATTTGCTGTTCTAATTATTAAAATAATTTTTTATATTTTTTTATTTTATATTTTTTAATTATTATTTTTAATATTTATTTAAATCATTTTATTTGCATTTATTTTTTATTTAATTTTTCTTCATGTTTTCTTTTCTTTTTAATTATTTAATTTTAATTTTAATTTTTTTTTGTAGTATTTTAATATTTTATTCTACAATATTTTGTTTTTAGTGTTATTATAATAATTAATTGTTTGACAAAAAAAAAATTATTTTATTCATATTTAAAAAATTTAAACAAAAAAGAAAAATTCCTTTCTAATAAAAAAAAAAAAAAAGAAAAGAAAATTTACTTAAATTCTAATTTAAAAAAAAAAGGCTTAAAAATTACATTTTACATTTTTTAAACTTTTTACATTAATATATAAATTTTTTTTTCTTATATATATAAATATATTATATGTGTATTTTATAAGTAAATATAAATTGTATAATATATAAAAATGTAAAAAAAATATGTATATTTATCAATTAATTAATTAATAATAATAATAATAAAAAAAAAATATTTTTAAAAATTAAAAAATTAACATATATAAATCGACAGTTAACAGACAGGGAGGGTCATCTATTCTTTTATTTCAATTGCTTATAAATTTTCTGATCTTAAATTATTTATTTATGTATTTTTTTTTTTTACTTTTTCTTATTTAATTATCCAAAATATATATTTTCATTTATTTTATTTTTAATTCATTTATTTTTAACATTACAATATATTCATTTTTATAATAATTATTTAATTTAACAATTTTTTCTCTTCTTTAAATTTAATAATAAACACCCCCCTGACTAGTATTTAATAGTTTTCTTTGTTTTATTTACACAAAAAAAAAATTAAAAAAAAAAAACATATCTCCTTTTCTATTTACCTTCTTAAAAATTTAATTTTTTTTTCTTCTTTCTTTCTTTTCTTTTATAATAATTATATATATTAAAGTGTTATATGCAATTTAAATTTTTTGTTTGGTTTTATTTTGTATAACATTATTGATATTTTATTATACTTTATAACTATATATAATTTTATACATTTTGTTTTGTTTAATATGTGTATATAATAAGTGTTAGTTCATTGTATTCATTTGTTTTGTTTTTTTTTTATTTGCTGTTATGTGTTATTTTAAATTTTATATAAATTTCATTAATATGTTATTTACATTTCTTTTTTCATTTATCTTAAAGTTAAATTTCATTAGTTTGTTTTTTTTATTCTCTCTTATATTTTATTTAATTTTGTTGTTTCTTTTTTTATTTATATTTCGCCTCCAATATTTCTTTTCTTCTGTGTACTTGCATTATTAATTGATTTTTAAGTTGTAATATTGTTTTTTCATCATGCATTAATTGTTCACATAATTTTGCTGCTTCACGTAATATATGAACTTTTGGTGCTCTTTCTTTATCTTTTATACTTGGTATTTGTTGTTTTAATTCTTCAAATAAATTTTTTAATCCAATACGACGTTGTCTTTCCATATCATTATGTAAATTACGTTTTTCAATTGTATCCTGTTCTTCCATATCATAATTCTTTTTACTATTTGATGATTTTTTATTACTACTTTTACTTGTTGTTGTATTATTACTACTACTGCTGTTATTATTGCTATTATTATTACTATTATTTGTTATTGTTGTATTATTATTATTATTTCGACTTCTTTTACTAGGAGGTAAATATTCATCATTTTGTTGATTTTTTATATTTAATATTGTACTATTATTATTATTAACATTACGTTTTCGGCCAGCCGATATACTATTATTACTACTATTATTATTATTATTATTATTATTATTATTGTTATATTTATTACTATTATTAATATTATTACTACTATCAATATTTTGTTGTTGAGTTTTAATTAAATTATTGCTATTATTATTATTAATATTTGTATTAGAACATTGTGAATTATTATAACGTGGATTACTATTACTACCACCACCACCAACTGATATTGTTTTAATTGGACTCGTTGTCATATTAGATATAGGCATAATTGCATATGGTGGATCAAATGTACCACGTTTTCTTGGAGGTATCGTTCTAATACCATTCGGTGTTTTAACAATTCTCGCTGAAAATTTATTTGCTACTTTATTTTGTAATGCTTTTCTATCTTTATCAGATGGATTTGTTGGAAGTTTTTTATCACCAACGGATACAACATCAATTTCTTCGTCTGTAATAAAGCAAAAAAGAAAAAAAGTAAAATTAATAAACTTTTTCTTTAAATTATTTAAAAATATCTGTAAAATTAAATTTTTGTAAAATGATTGGAGAATTTTATTTGCATAGTTGAAAACCAAAGATGGAAATAGTCATATACATAAATACAAAATATGTATGATTAAAGTCTTTAAAACTTTTATTACATAAAACATTTTATTTTTTTATATGATTAATGAGAACTTTACATTACATCTAATCATACATTGCATGTATGTATACTTATATAAGAGAAAAAGAAGAAACTTTAAAAAAGAAATCTCATAATTAAATTTGAGGTCATTATTTTTGAAAGTTCTTAACACATTTTCCAATTTATCTCATTATATGAATTGTAATCACATAAATGAAATTATCAATAACCATTTAATACATAAGTATGTACATAAATAAACGAATGAATGGAAAAAAAATTTACTTTTGTGAAACACGAGCTTATTTAAAAAAAACCAAAAATAAGAAAAAAAAATTATTAGTCACACGTTGTAAAAAAAATGATAAAGAATCATTGTTGTACAACGCCTCTAAAAATGAGAAAGAAAGAAACAAAAAGTTAAAGGAGAAAAAAAAAAAAACAAGAAACTAAAAATTCGCCACAAAATGGAAAATTCAAAATTTATAACATTTTGCAAATTGTACACGCGTTTTATAATTTTTAAGTATTTTCACACATTTTGTGCGCAAAATATAAGTTTTCAAAAAAAAAAAATGATTTTGCGCATTTTATTTCCCACAAGTTGGTAGTTATACAGTTAACGCACACATACACACAAATTAGATTAGTTGTTAGGTGTAAAAAAAAAATTTAAGAAATTTATTTGCTCTTTTTTTTTTAATTTAAAATAGTTTTCGCTGTTTTTTTTTTTATTAATAACATAATTTTTCGTTCTCTTTGAATTAAAACTTTTATACAAGTTGTTCATAATAATTATTATACATGAGCACATACATAAGTATACATATGCATAGTATGCACGTAATTTATTTAACATAATTAAAATAGCGTTATTATATTAAAAATTTTAATTAATAGAGAGAGATAATGATGGTATGGAAAATGCACTAAGCCAGTACTGATGTAAAAATTTCATAAATATTGTCACAGAAATTCAATTATCTACATATACACACATATATTGTATGAAAATAGCGCCACTTTAACTAATTTTTGGACGGCATTTCAATCATATTATTAATAGACTAAATGATCCAAAGATCACTTCTTATTGAAAATAAATGTGGTTAACAAGAGTAATTTAAGTTTTCATTAAAAAATTTCTTATTAATTGCATTGAGGGTTTTTAATTTTGAATTCCAAATTGTTGGAATGTTTAAGTTGCTCTAGGCTCTAGTGTCTGAACACATAACAGAAAAGAAAATATTTTCTCAGACCAGTTCTGCTATTAAGTTTTTCAAGAAATTAATCAGTTAAGATGAAATTTTTTAAAAAAATATCTCCAAAATCCAAATTCAAAACTAAACTTAACTAAACTAACTAAATTAAAATAATTTTATCTCCAACAGAATTTTTTACTTTAGCTCTCTTCCTAATCAATTTGATTCTATATAATAATTTTATTTTTAGAAATAAATTTTGTACAAATTTTTTAATACATACATATGTTATACACACCCATCAAATTCTAAAATCATAATTTTTAATATAATAAATACATATACACATAAGTATGTAACAATGTATAATAATAATTATATTATGAATTTAATCGAATATAACAAAAAAAAAAAGTTTTTAAAATGTTGCTGCGTAATTAAGAATTCAAATTCCTCTATGAACTAAAATTATATTTATTTATATTTATTTTATTTCTTTTTTTTTATTATTATAATTTTTTTTTAAATAATATTATAATATTATATATCGCATTTATATTTATATTCGTATATATGTATGTATGTATAAGAAAACTATTCATTTTATTTTTAAAATTTAAATATTTGTACATATATTATTTTATAAAATAGTTTTATTATGTACATAAATATGTAAATATAAATTCTATTTAGGTATATACATATGTATAACAAATATGTTTCAATAATATAAAAATATATATTAATAACGTTCACATATACACACTTATGTATATAAAAAGAATTTGATTTTAAGAATTTTACAGACAATCTCTTACGCACAAAATTTAAAACAAAAAAAAAAACTTAAAAAGTTCTAGAGTGCTATGTAACAAAATATATTTTATGTTATACACATATACATATATTGTATATAATGTTATACATATATAAATTTATACATACATGTATAAAAATTTAAAAATTTTTATTTTGAAGCTATTTTTTAAAACCAAAGAAAAACGTCTCTATACCACAATTATATATATATTAGAATAGATTAGAAACTCTAAAATAATTCTAAAACGCAAACTTTTATTTACAACACATTAGAATATACAAAAGTGTTATACTTATTCTGTCATTTAATTTGAATAAGAAAAAAAAGTGTTTTCTTTTTTTTTTTTGAAACAATTTGAAATTCGAAAAAAAAAATACTTTAAAATGACATGTCCACATTCCGTCAGTACCATTCACCCTAAATCTAATTTGATTTCACTCTCTAAATAGAAGAAAAAATAAAAATTATAAAAATAACTTATATAAAAAGTAAAAATAATTTTTAAAACCCCAAAAAGAAAAAGTAAAAATTAATTTTCAAATCAAAATTTCTTCAAAAACACAAAAAAAAAAAAAAAATACCAGAAAAAAATCTTTAATATACAAATTGATTTTTTTTTTTTTTACATTTTTACAATACTATTTATGTTTAAATGTAAAGATTAACACAATACCTACTGAAATAAAAAGCACGAACAAGATAATTAATTGCCCTTTAATATATGAAACGAGAAATGAAAAAACAAGAAATAAAAAAATTATTTCGAAATATAAAAGCGAAAATGTCGCTGTCGTCGCAGAATCACATTCATTTTTTTCTCTTCTCAGCAATAGTATGCATAATACCTATAAGTATAAGAACATTAGAAATGAAATACTTGCATATATAACAGAAAATCTCATTAAGTTGAAAATTTTCGAAATCAAAACTAATTAAGTTAATGAATGCATCTCTTCTCTTCCTATACCAACATACATACAAACATGAATTCTAAATATTTAAATATTTTTAGTAATTTGTTAAAAAACAATTTAAAATAAAAATAGATTCTATTTTTCGGATCTATAAACGTATACAATTATATTTTTAGGCTTTAAAATTAAGATTGATTGAAGTTATATGTAAATTATTAGAATTAAAGGAAAAAAGAGAAATAAAATTAAGAAATAATTAAGTGAAACATTGAAAAATTGATTTTTGTTAGGAAACTATAATTTTCATTAAATTTAAATATATACATACATATATATGTGCATACAAATATTCATATATTTCATCTATCAGTCGTTATATGAAACTCATTATGACGATATTTTAATGTCATTTTAGTCAATTCATTTACTCATTCATTATAGTATTAAACCTAAATATTATATCAGATTACTAGCATATAAAAATACCGTTATATAGTTAACGAAACGATTTTGTTGAAATATACAAGAATTAAGCCGATTTATATTAGAATATTCTATTTTATATATTTCTAGCAAAATTAAATTAACAATGTCTCAATATGATCTGAGCGCCATCCATTTTGAATTATTCATATAAAAAGAGAGAGAATATAAAATTTATTTAAATATAAAATTAGTATGTTGTCATGTTGTTTAAAATTCTCATTTTTTATATTAAAATTTTTGTAAATGATTAATAAATGATTTAAGATTTTTTAATTATTATTCACTAAATATTTTTTCTATTATTATTCTATAATTAATTACTAAAAAATTAAACCAATTATAAATTAATATTATATTTAAAAATACAAATGAACTTAATTTTTTTATTTATTTTTATTAAAATTTAAAAATAATCATTTGTCATAATTAATTATATGCAAGTTTTTTTTAAATAATTTCCTCAATACCATTATATATTTTTTTTATGAGATAAGAACTATTCATGGGGTTCTATTTTGAAAATCTAAAATTATTATTTACAAATAAAAAAAAAAAGAAAATTAAAAAAAATAAAAAGTCTCTTGATTGTTGTTACTCATTGTGTCAAAAACTTTTTTTTTTAATTTAAATTAACCTGATTTTCACATTTGTTTATAAACAATATTCTTATAAAAAAAAATGTTTATAATACAAAATTTGGCATAATCATATTAGAGTACATACATAGTCATTTACTTTGTTGCAAAAACGACAGCATTTAAAATGAAATTTGTGGAGCTGAACACACATGTACATGTAAGTATGAAATTACGCATTGTTTATAAATAAGTACAACACCACCTTTTATTGCTAAAAATATCAAGCGAAAAAATTAAAAAGTACAATAATTAAAATTTAAAAAAAAAATTTTTTTTCGTTTTGCTACAAATACGATATCAATTTTTCTTTTCATACCGAATTAATTTGAAAAAAAAAAAATCATAAAATTTGCGGGAACACGTTTTGTTTTTGTTTTTTCAACGGGTAAAATAATTAAAATTGCGATATTGAATATTAAAAATATAAAATTTATTTATCCTTACATTTCTAATATAGCACTTCAAATTTATTAAAAATATTTAAAGAACAACATGAATTTTAATTTTACAAAAAAAAAAAACTAATATAATTAATTAAATTAAAAATTATTTATTTACATCTAATTTTGAAAATTTTAATTGTAAATTAAAACAAAAAAAATTATATTAAAATTAAATTAAACATGCTTGCGATTGCAATCATTTTATATTATAATTAATTAAAATAATCAGACAGCATAATTAGAGATATACGATTATTTCAAATAATTATTGGCAATACTAGGCCCGTCAGCCAAGTGTCAAATTTTGGTAGCACAAC